TTATATGTACCGTCCAAGCATGCCAATGTATGAGTAAGACAGCATTTTAGGTGCAAACTGGTTTATTACTGAATGATASCCCTCCAGACAACTTGTYTGGCCCACTGAAGATGCTTTCTTGATTGCATTGGTAAGCTTGGTATTTGTCAATGCATCATACATTTTGCCATATGCCTCGGACCCTTCRAAMAAATTGCAATTTTAAAATTAAACGCCAAAAWTGTAATAGTCTGAATCAATTTRAATCAAATGTTGTGCTTACCTTTGGTCATCCAAACCTTAGGTTTGGTGATTGCTCCATGTTTGCAAGCATTKAATAGTTTGTTTGGAAGTTTARAATGGATATTTAGTATATGGGACAGATAAGAGTGAAACTTTGCCACTTTAACATCACCTAGAATAGACTGGGTAGACATTACAGACCAATAGAAATGGCGGACGCATGCTTTTCTCCATCGGCCAATTATTTCACAGCCCTTCTCTTTTGCTAGTTTAGTWAGAATTTTCTGGATTTCTATAAAAAGTAAAAWKAWAATGAAACAAATTCAAAAGTACTCGGGCAGTGGAGTCTGATGCACTTATCAAAGAAATCAAGKTATACTAATTATAATATTGCCTCAGTTTTGATAGAATTGATTTGAATAGAATTGAATTCAGTTCTCACTCAAATTCACCTATATCATTTATAATAAAATGTTGAAGTATGTTTGTCATACTAGTGGTGTGCTTCTTCAATATTTATTTCCTCTGAGCTAAAAGAAAATTCACTTACTTTTKCCAAGGTGCCAGAGATMAAAAAAATGGTTGACAACAGGTTTTCCTAGTTGCTTGCATTTCTTTGGCAAAACCTCTCTCATCCACTTTGCAATTGAGGCATGACGGTCAGATACAAAAGTAGTTATGATCATTCCTGTTGTCAGTAGAAACTCAAAYGCCCTTTGATGGCCCAGAAACTCCATAGCAGTGCTACTTCCTGCATCATTAGCCTGTACAAAGCAATCCAATTTTTTTGTGATTAGTGAAATTATTGGCTGTCACATTTTTGGTTATATGAAGCATTGACTTCTTACTATTTCTACAACTCAATTGTAATGTAACTTGCACTAACCTGAACTAAAACTAGGTGTATTATGTATCCAACAGTGCAGCAGTAAATTGTATATGTACCAAATTTAGCTGAGTGCCYCATGCTGTCATGGCGGCCGTCTCCTGCTAGTACCACTTCTTTACCTTCAAGAGAGCTAAGCATTTTTGTCTGCCACCCACGCCARAACTTTACAATGGACRGGATGAGCATGTGTCGTTGGTGGTAATAATAAGTAGCTTCATGATAAACCAGTAAGTTCATGTGTCGAAACACTGAAAGAACTTTTCTTACTGATGCCCCAGCACAAAGCATAGCAAAGCTTAATAGGATATTTCCAGCTGGAAATTTTAAAAGAGTTGGTTGGCTCTTCCAGTTGAAGATGTGTTGGCATTTCTGGCACCTGCTCTCAATACTTAACATTGTTCCAATTTGTGAAACTGCTACTTTAGGTTCAGGAGCAAAGCACTTAGTGCAAAATTGGAAAAGCAGCAGAAGTTTGGATAAAAAAACAATGCCTTTTGGTTCTTCTCTTATGTTTTTATCGTCAAAGTCCAACCTGACAATTCAAAAAAATTGCATCAATTATTATTTATTATTGTAATTATTCACTGAGCATTAGAGTACAAATGACATATCCATGAAACACAAATTAAGAAATGGGAAAAACAGAATGATATATAATGTATAACAAAAATCAATGCCTGCACCTCTGTAATGAGAATAAAAAGCATACATACTTTGGGTTATGATTTCCTGCTACATCATCATTTTGATGTTGTCTATATTGCTCTTCATTTTCATCRTGGCTAGGTCCTGATGATGTTGATGGCCTTGAGGGACTGGCACTTTCATCAGCTGGSTCCCACAGTGGATCATCTTCTTCACAATYAGATGCYATYTCCTCCATTGGACAATCCACAGGTTGGGATTCCTCTTCAAAAYCTGTTTGCATACCTGTAAAGAAGCCCGCARAATACTTAGATACATTGCAAYATTYTTTTATTAATAAAAGCTTTTAATGATATGAGTTGCAAATACCTTTCGATGTCATCGGTTTAGGAGTAATTTTTTGAAATAGCACTTCTTTTGATTGCACGCGTTCTTGTAGCCTTTTTATTTTCGTTTGAAGAGTGTTAATCTTTTTCTTCAGACTTCTATTATCTTCAGATAAGTTCGTACAGGTAGTGCAACTTGGAGTAACTCGTGTTCCAATCTAGTAAAAAGAACGAGAGTATTAAAACACATCGGTTATGATAACATACGTCCATTCGTCGTATACTTTTYACTCTTAATTAGTACCTGGAAATTTGCAGTAGAGAGACCAACTTCAGGAACAGACTGCTTAGTTTGTTGCTGCAAACTGTCGTCTATATTGTCTAAGCTTTTATCAGCCMAGTCACCTTGACTTCCCGCCATTTCGTCCACTTCATCTTGGCTGTCGGTACGTTTCGAAGTTGAAGAAGCTTCCTCTGACTGTAGATCTTCAGAAATACTTGACATCTACATGCAAAGAAAAATAATTTGTTTCATAACAAGAAATTCTAACTGTTGTACCTTTCATTACATGTCAATACGTGTATGATGTCRACAATTATAGTCGTAATAGACAATTTTGTGCAACATGTTGGGAAAAGGACACTTCAAAGCTACTAATAAATCTCCAGTTGGTTAATCCACGGCAGCGTGCATTTGAATTCCCACTTTCTAATGTTCTATRGAGGCGGGTTTGTCTGACAATATACATGGAAGATCAAAATATAAAGAGCGTCAAATCACTAATTATTATAAACAAAGACCTGAATATTTGCCGCGTCATTCTGCGGGATCGCCTCGTATCTTGCTGATAATATGTCTTTCAAAACCTAAAATCAAACGTTAAGGAAAAGAGTTTTAGTTCACTGATTTTGATTAATAAAAGAATTCGACGAGATGAAGGAATATAAAAGGAAACAACTCACCATCCTATGATCTCTCCTAGAATTTGGACGCGTAGATGGCTCCGCACGTTCTCCGCCACGTTTCCATATTGTCGGTATTGAGCCTGGAATAAGCTTTCGCATAGAGCCTTCCACATGGACCGTTCGTGTAAAACACGAATCTTCGAAATGATCAGAGCAAATGACAAACCGATCACTGGGATCGAAGTTCTTCCTGTGTGTTCTTACGAACTTTTTCCATTTCGCGCACAAGACTTGGTTTTGCGGCGAATTATTGCTGCATGCTTGTACCACACACCGACTTGAAGGCATTTTGCCGGGTGGAGATACTTGACTACGCTATTTTAAGAGATTTTCCTTGATATGACTTTTGATCCCAACTCAACTTCGAAAAACTACGCAAATTTCTTTGACAATCTGGGGACTTCACAAGTTTTCGTTGATTGGATGACGTCACTACCGGTCGCCCCATTCCGGCGCGGGAATTTCCAATTTATTCAGAGGTCTCGGAAAAGATAGTAAAAAAAAAAACATACTTCCAGTGGGAATATTAAATTGAATTTTAGAACATGTGTTATTTAAGTGTTTGGGATTATTTTTACGAAGTTTAAGCAAGTTTCAAGATTTTGACGATTTTCGTCAGAGTAGCGCTTTAAATGGCGATAGTTTTGACCATCCTCAAGACGAGAGCGTTTTAGTTCAAATCCCGACCTCTGACGAGGTCACATTGGGGTCTACGAAGACTCGCTCGGCCAGAACTAATCTGTCATCAGTGTCCCTAGGTCCTGTCAACTTAATCYGATTAGTGAGTCAGACGAGTGGTCAAAGGGGCCGCCGGTTATTGCTTGCCTCTGTCTCTTTTGGTGTTCGGCCAGGGCAAAGTGATTTTAATCCGGTTAATGAATAACGTTCCTGGCGAGACAGCAGTGGATGGTATAACAAGGACAGCGGTAATAAATTCAGCAACAACCGCTTGAGAGTTTGAGTAACGATCATTTGGATGAATTTCGTAAAATCAAGTGCTTTTTAGTGTCTAAGAGGACATTTGAGTGTATATTTCAGATAAGTAAAACTTTACAATTTATTATCAACTATCTTTTGTTGGATAAATTAARCAATTTTTGGATCTTATAGGTCATAATTTCAGTTCTAGCGCCCTTGTCCTGAAGATGTTTGTCATGGACGTTAAAATCATGTTCTTTTTTCCTTTTWATCAATAGTTCACCGGAGAAGGGAACATCTTTAACATTGAATGGTTTGGTAGAAGAAAGATTTCTTATCCACTTDGCAGTATTAAGCTTCTGTACAGCAACAAGAACTATGCCAAGCATTTCATCTAACTTTAGTTTTTCAATCATTTCCTCCTCACTATCATCACTGTCACTATCAAGTTCTTCGTCTTCATCATGTTTGCTTGCGACAGAAATGCATTCTTCAATGGATGACACCCATGTATTTTCTATTGCATCTTTTGAGGAAAATGGAGAAGGTTAAATCTCACTCTCAACTTGTCGCCCACTTAGGCCAATCCCAAACTTCTCAAAGTAATTTGTATCTTGGTCCGGTGCATTATTTGCATTTGTGTTTGATATAAAGTTCATTGCTTCTTYATTTTTCCACATCCTTGAAAGCATGGGAGACTTCTTTCCTCTTTCATTTCAGAGGTKAAAAAATGACGATAAAATTGCAACAGCAAGAATCACCCCAACTCTGTTCTTTTTCAGTTCYTTATTCAATGATCTATTAAAAACAAATTAACATGGATCCATGTTAACTTTCAGACACTCRCAATTACCAAAAAWGTTTTTTGAAGATGTAACACCAAAMACAGAAAACAGTTATATGTAGTACATGCATATACAGTACAGTATGACCAGCTGATCTGTGTTAGAATATACAATTGCAAAATACATTCATGAACAAAATGTGTAGAGCAATGGACATTGCTATTGTATTTTTTGMAATTTCTGGAAATTTACATTTTYTTCAATCAGTCTTAGGGTGTCAGAAAAGAAGAGAAAAGGCACATCAATATTGATTTTCCTCTTTGTTTTTATCATTGGAACTGATTTAATTTAAAAATCAGCCACCCAGGCCCTTGTTCAGGACTACTGGGAATATTTTAGGGGTATTTGTGAAAATCTCTGACAAGTTATTCCCATTACTTTTACCCTGGAAATGCTGTTCTGTTATTTCAAATGTTATCAAAATTAATGAATACAACATGATGATGAACAATGTACCTGTGCATATATTCATTTTGGCTGGACGATATGCTTGGTGGAATTTCTGACAAGCAACCTCTCCTCATATGCTCTCTTAGTGCTTCCAGCTGCTTTAAAACTTTGTTATTTAGAACTTTSTTCTGTTGATAGTCAACTTCCTTCCACTTTTCAATAAAATTATCGAGATTACTTTCTAACGCTTTTGGATCAGGTGTAGCTTTTAAACGATGTTCGCCAAAATCACCAAATGCTCTCAAAATAAATTTTAAATCCATCAAAAAACGTCTGTAGAACTTGTGTTTTTTTGAAAGTTGCTTTGAAACCCTTTGCAATGCATGGAATAGATCCAACTTCACAAGACATTGTGATCCAAACACCATCTTCAACTTCTTTTTYCAAAAGCAGCAATTGTCAATAATGACTCCAGAGACCACGATGCCTTTGTTATTCATTCTTCTATTAAGATTCTCCATCAACTCTTCTATTAAAGAGAATGATTTTCCATAACAAAGTTGCCAAGTCAACACTTGTCCAACTCATTTTGTAAAGCAAACAAACTGTCATATTGCCGTACCCACTTTCCATTGTTAATGATACCAATATTTGAAGCTACTTTAAATGTGTGATCACAAGAAAGCCATGTACCTGTGAGGGCACACATAGATCTAGTGTGAAAATCTTTATTTCTTTCATAATTCAGGATATAGCACTGTTGCAAAACATCGTTTGAAATTGGACTGTCCTCAAATGAGGGGAAAGGTAAACTTCTTGAAGTATCTTTGGAGCTAACAAAATAGATATAATTCWTTTCTCTTGTTGCATGGTCCTGCAGTCTTATTTTCTTAAGCATTTGTTCTATTTGATTGAATGACATTCCATTGTCAATGTAATGGGGAATTGTCCAAAATAATTCTCGGGTAAATCCAGTTTTATGAAACAGAATGAAAGGTATAAGATCTTCACAAGGGAATTGCTTAAGAACATTTGGGTGACTTGTAGAGCATGTATGTTTGTAATCYTCGGAACACACCATTAGTTTGCATACCAGATAGCAAAATCCCTTGATATCATGTATACCTCTTGGCATATTACGTGGAGTTGTTCCATCTTGCCATCTATTGAAATTCAATGTCCCTGCACAGCCTGCTTGAATACATTTCAGCCCATTCTTGAATAWAAATGGAAACTGCYTTTCAGGATCCCAAATTAAAWTATTTGGTTGTAAAAAGGCATCTTGTGAATCAGTATCTGGAATGTCAGGTAATAAAACAGATAGAGGAAACGCTTTTAGGTCATGGTCATTAATCCTTTTGTGTAGAATTTTTAGGAATATTTACTCCATAAGTAATGGTGAACAGGATGCCAAAAGCTAAGATCCATTTCAAWTTCACTGGACCTGTCACAAAAAAGAAGAAAGGAAATGAAATCTACATCCCAAGCTACATTGTAAATGTAAATCTATGTTGATTTTATGTATCTATCAATGTGAGTCCCATGGGAGGTATTCAGTCCCCTTGGGTAGAGAATTTGATCACATTCTAGCCCCTGTACATGTAGGCAGGATATTTGAATTTTGAAAGATCTTGGGGCCCCTGTTGAAAGCTATTAAACCTACATGTGCTTCGCTGGCTCGTTGCTGACTTCAAAATCATGTAATAATCACAGCTTAGCTTAATTTGTTTTATTGTTCTAGAAATCACACTAACCCAAGAGGATGCATCAGATTAGTGGATCTGTGCTGTTGGTTGTAAGATTTTTAGATACKATTTTCAGAAATAAAATGGTTTATAGCATTTAAGCTTATAAAATAAGGCTTCATATTATAATCCTGAATACGATGTTTCTTTTGTATATATTCATCAGGATTTACAGCATTCCCTAGTAACAATATATTCCAAAAATAATCTAGTGAGAGCTACAGCAGTTACCCTGGGAACCAGAAGCTGGATTTACTCGTTCTTGTCAGTAAGCGCCGTAAATAAAGGGATCCAAATAAGGTACAAGAATGAGTAAGTCCAACCTCTGGTTCCCAGGGAGAGCTAAGTTTAATAAATCACGAAATGTTAATCACGAAGTGTTTACTCACCGTACATCTTGCGTTACATGTAGAATCGAGCGTGACTTTCCCGTTCGATCACAACAGTCTTGTGTAAGATTTTTTTGCGATCCCACTTGTACTACTTTAACAGACCAAGGMTTTTTTGGATGATGTCTACTTATATTAGAATAACCAAAGAACAGACAAAATCAACTAAATGCGGCACCTAAGCACGATGCGAAGATGCGAAACACGATATCTTAACGCGACTGACCAGGATCAATGCAGACTCGCTGCATTCCCAGAATCCCTGGAGTCACTTSAGATTTTAGCGCCAAATTTCAACTTTAGCGCTTCGTAGAGCTTCGTCTCCATCTTCCCTGTTTTTTATGTTTTTTTAATGTTATTTGTCTCACCATTAACCTTTAAAGATATCTCAGGTAAGAATGAATAATGATGGTGTCTGTTACTTCCATTGTCCGTACATATTTTCTTACAAGAAACTGATGTTTACATTCATTCACAGATCTGTGTATCACTGCGACTCGCAACAAAAGTTAACTTCAAGCTTAAGCTTAATTACATTGAGGTGAGTAAGTTATTGTAGCTGAATCGTTTTAAAGCAAATATCTCAAAATAGATTTCTTTTTGCAAGACAATRAGACCGATCAGGTTTGATAGTTTACTTTAATGTTTACAGTATTGTTAGGGTTGTATTAAGGTTTTTAGTGAGGTTGATCTTATAAAACAAATTTCAATTTGAGTAAGCTTACATTCTTTGCAGTAAAATTAAACTATCAGAGTTGGACTTTAAGCAAAATAATAACTGTTGGAAATAATAATTAGTCATTATCAAAAGTCAATCTKCCAAGTTGTTTTTGCTGTCTGGGGGAAATAAAATTTCTTTGAGGGCCATTTCCCATACCCTGATTTCCTTGGATGTTTTGTAGATACACTTTGTGAATACAGTGTTGGTAACTCAAGTGAATGTTATGTACTGTTGACTATTTTGAAATCTTTTTGATGATGTTTACAGAAATAAGACAGGG